GTAATGAAAAATGCTGACCACTTTAATCAAAATACATCCAGAGGTGATTATCAGCAGTGAGTATTATATTTTTCTAATCTAACAATTATTATTTTGCTTATGAATTTTTTTCAAAAGTTACAGAAAAGAAATAATTATAATTTTATTAAATGATATATAGAATAATAAATTATATTATTCAAAAGAAACAATTCTAGAACGTATATGTTCTCCAATTGAAGAGAGAAAATTGGGCAAGTCCCTTCTCTCTTCTAAATAATCAATGCATAAATTTTTTAAAATAGTTTGTTTCGTTGCATAAATACGATTTTTTTGGGAGTGTATGTCTCAATATTCCATTGGACGATTTTTCCCATATCAACCGCTATTTCCATCCTTATTTTTTCGAGTAGTTCCCATATCTTCGGTTTTTTGTTGCCTACAATATGCTTAAATCGGTTATTCCATCCTTCACATACATTGTTTGTTCGATTTTCCCCAGCAATCGTAACATTGAACACATTCCATGTTTCTGGTGGGAACAATGGCTCTACTTGCCTTTGAGAGTTTTTCCCATGTCTCAATTCTCCATTCACATAATTTTTATCAAAATAAAACAATAATTCATTGTTTTCATCCGATACAATGGTTTTTAAATACTCCATACCTCGTTTGACATCGTGTATAGGTAAGAATGCTAATCCATCGATCATAGCTGCAAATAAGCATAACATTGGATCATTCCGATATGATGATTCTAACCCCAATTAATGAATCTTTCTATGAGTTGATTGAGTTAGATGATAAAAACATCCTTGGATGTTGATATCTCTACCTAAAAGTTGAATAAATATAGATTAAAATTATTGTATAGGTTTTATTTAATATTTATGTCTTTATCAATTTTTATTAATTGTACTGTGTGACAAGAAAAATGGGAGAAAAAATAAATAAAAACAAGTTTTGGTGCAGAATTTGACACTGAGTTCGAATTCGTTTTCTAAGTTTTCCCTTCACGTCAAGTTTTAAAAATATTATCGTATAAAGGCAACTTTTCGAAATCTCAAAAATGGTAATACGGATATATTTTAAAAAGTATCAAATGAAAATCCCTGAAAATTGGTGATAGTGTTAGATTTATATTTCCTTATAAATTTATTAATTTTTATAATTTTTTATCGATTGCTTTTTGAGAAAAATGGTAAAGAATTTCGTTTTGGGGGGTCTTAAGTTTTCAATTTAAATTCCCGGCAAGAATCGTATAAATATGTTGGCGGACTACTGCTGGAGTATCTTTTTTGAAAATAAATCATTAACTTCATATTCGCGGAAATATATTTAGATTTACCATTAAATGTTTTTAAATTCGATAAATTTTATGTTATTGTTTAATTTGTTTTAAATTCAATAAATTTATTGTATATTACAAGTTAAATCCTATATAATAATGAAGGAGGGGGTGAGACAACGGACCGATAAAAGGTTTATTAAAAGTAAAATATGAGATAGGTTAGCTTAGCATAATATATTTATTTAAATATGAGAAATGTAACTATTTCATTTAAAATAAATTGTTTGGGAATCGTACCTTGTGCAGTGTAGCGAAGAGAATGAAAGCTACAATAAATATATTAAATGTAAGCTATATTAAAAAAGAATCTAGAAAAATAATTCCCCGGAAAAAAAATCTCCGTTTTTAAGATAATTAAAATTACAAAATTAGGAGAAAAAATTCCCTATAAATAAATCAACGAAATAATAATTCTCAAATAAAATATTTAAAAATTTTGATAAAATTAATTCTGAAGAATTATTAGGATTATGTTTTATACGTATTTATAGATATATAAAACGAAAATCAACATTTTTTAAATTATATTCCTAATAAATTTGGTCAATCGAATATTTAGTGAGTGGTCGGTTTTGAGCTCGGCAATCGGTCAAATCAAATTATTTTCAAAATATTTTTTAGAATAATGCTTAGCACGTAAATATACACGTATAAAGAGATTTTGATAAATAACGCCAGCAATATTTACTTTAAAAAATTTCCATTATTTTACTATTCTAAACCTAATCATTAAACATTAAAGAAACCTAAAAAAAATTTTTAATTTTTAGGTTTTTCATATGTATATATATACCCAAATATAAAAAAAATTCTATCCAATCATCATTCCGGTTTCCTAAAATGATACATATTAAAACATATAACGCCCTCTTACGGATATATATTTGTTAATTTTTAAAATTGAATAAAATGTATATTTGTTTTAATAAGCTAGAAAAATAAATTTCTTATTAATAATATTAAATAAAAATAAAATTATATACTATATCATTTAATCAGTATTCTTCATTTATAATAAAAAAATGATTTATATATATTTTAAAAAAAGTTTAAAAAATTATCATTAAAAAAATATACGTAATAAATTTTTGATTGATTTATAATTGATAATGATTGATTGCCTTTTAGCAATGCAGTTTAGCAATGCATTAGCAATTCAATGTATAGTGGGGAAATTTTTTCCGGGGAATTATTTTCCAGGGGAATTTTATTCCGGGGATTTTTTTTCCGGAGAATTATTTACCTGGGAATTTTTTTCCGGGTAATTATTTTCCTGGGGATTTTTTTCCGGGGAATTAATTTCCGGGGATTTATTTTCCGGGGATTTTTTTTCCGGGGATTTTTTTTCCGGGGAATTAATTTCCGGGGATTTTTTTTCCGGGGAATTATTTTCCGGGATTCGAAATGTTGTAAGCTTAGTAAAATATATGTATGTGTAGATAAAAAAAAATAACATTATTTACTAAAATGTATATCATATAAAAATATTTATTGATTTTAATTTGATTATTGATAAAAATATATGTGATATATAGATTTGATAATTCGATTATATTTATTGTTTGATTATGTGTGAATTCGTAATTCGAAAATATTTGGAAATAAAAGCAATTATTAGTGATATTATTTGTCTTATTATTATTGGAAGATTTTTTTAATTATATTATTGTGGAAGACTTCTATAACCATAGTATAATATTTCTTTGCAAGTAAAAGGTAATATATCCGGTTAGGAAATTATTGAAAAAATATATATGATAATTTATTAGCTAACTTGATAAGCCGACTGGAAAAATTCGATATGTATAAACTGTTTATAAAAAATCTTAGTTTATCAGTAAGTATGAAAGAAAATAATTCATTAATTTTTAAAATGAATGCTATTGTGATTAGTGAAGGTCAACGGTCCTATCGGTCTTAGACCGGGAGCAATCAGGGGCAAAAAAAAGGATAACAAATATTTATATAATTTTTATTTAATAAGAAAATATATAGATCCCTGCAAAATTATTTAAAACCGTTATAGAGAGGCATATAATATTATATCCTTATATATAAATTTGTTAAAAGGTGGATTTAAATCAATATTAATTTTGAAAAAATTAATTTTAGTTAATTCAAATATAATTTTTTCAGATTTTTTTGCTTTAATATTAGCGTTGGTAAACGGTTCGATTCGATTTTTAAAAACGTTCAACTTAATATTATATTTTAAAAAATATGACGCAAGCCTGAAGATTTTGCACATATATGGCACAAAGGTTTGGATATCTATTAGAGAAATCTCGAGGCTTATGCAATATTTTACTGGCTAAAATATTAAGCTAGCCGTTTTAAACATCGGCTCAAATCGAGCCATTCACCAACACTAATCGTTATCATCTAAAATCGTATTTATTTATTTTTGTTAATAATGTGGCATGGCATAATCGAGTGGTAAATTTGATCTAATCTGAAATCATTTTGTTGATATCAAGATAAAAAAAAAATATGTAATTATGAATTACAAAACCTGAGAATGATTAAAGGGCTTTGCAATTTGGATGGTTCAAGATTTGTGCAACAATAATATGTGAAGTTGCTGATTCTATTTTGCTTGATATAATTTACATTTTATACCATAACATACTATAAAATATTGTCAGAACTAATAAGATTATTCATAAAAAATTAAATAAAATTGTGATGTAACTATCGACAACGCTGATATATGAAAAGAATTAGGGAGTCATGTCATTAAATAATTGATGGCCTACATCATCTCAAAAAAAATTATTGTTTTTGGTTTAGCTCATATACTAAACCTATTATCGAAAAATTTGTAGATTAAAAATATAAAGGATGCCAAACCAGGCTAGTCAGATCAAAAACGTCACCTACTATATATGATTTTTTTGAAATAAATAATAATAATACTGAAAATCCTCTAGACGCATTTTTTTAAATCTAAAAATACTCAAATAAATATTTTGATAATTTTATTATATAAAAAAATATGTATTTTAAATTTGATACTGCATTGCCATTAAATGCTAATGTTGAACGATTATTTAATACAACAAAGCTTATACTTTCTGATCATCGCTCTAGACTTGGGGATGACAGTAGATATGTTAATACCATTGAAATGCAATAAAAAAAATAACCAAATTACATATATTTGAAATTATAGTCACATTTTAATACCAATATGTTTTATATGTGGAAATAGAGATAACTATAAAATATTTTTAAAAAAATCTAAAGTAGCGTCAAATTTTTAAATTATCTAATAACGCGCTACTTTCTTGAAAAAATAGTGGAAGCAATAGCGCCCTATGTTTAAAACTAGCATTTAACAAGCTAAATTAAATCCATTTCTATATTAAGTGGTGGAATCCCGTGTCGCTACCATCTATCATATATCATCCCCCTATGATGGAAATACCAAGTTGGCTTCAGAAAAAATAATGTGGACCTTGATGTGAACCCAGAATTATTAGATAGGCAAACCACGTTCTTATAGGCCACATACGCTTTCCGAAATCGGGATTTTTTAAATATATATTATAAAAAATAGGGCAGTCTCTATCAAAATAAAAAATTAATAAAATTTGTAAACACTGCCTTTGGCAGTCTCAGAACTAAGGTTATAATGTCTGAAAAAAACAAGGGTATAAAATTTGCTAACCTTTATCGCTGAAATCATCAAATAATATGATTTGGTGAACGAGCTGGGTGGGGGTACGATTAATGATGCTCCATATCATTCGGATAATGGCGGTAAACGCTTCATTGTTAAATATCACTACTATGCTGGCGTTTGGAAGATCATCGTCATACTTTATTTCTGCACATCTATAAATGATTTTTTTTATAAATAATTGATTTAATGGTATAACAAACAATAAAAATTGAAATATAAGAAAAAGTGGGATGGTAAAAAAAAATCATTTTTATATGATTTTAAATTGCAATAGCATAAATTATTACTGAATGGAAACACCTTATAAATTTTAATTTAAAAAAAAATACATAAAAATTTTAAAGTTTTATATCAATCTGCTGGAATTGAAAGAATAGAAGGGAATAATGGATAAGTTGCATAGTATATATTTTAAAAAAATATATGGAATTGGTAAAAAAAAAAGAAGATTGTTTTTAAAATAATCTTCCGAAAATTAATGAAAACATAAGGTTTTCAAATTTTTTAACTGGAAAGAATTTGATATTAGATTGTAGTTCCCAAGCAGCCAAGTATCAACTTGATTTTACTATACCACAAGTATGGGTTTAATATCTTTCAAAATGAGTATACGTATGCATCATCAAATCAAAAATAAATTCCGCATCGCATTCGAAAATCAAAATATTACGTTAAATGATATTTTTAGAGGTAGTGCATGGGCTATAAATTTTTTTGCCGATATAGATACAGATACCACAGTAAAAAATTATGTAGGAAGTTTTAACTGTTTATTTATTTATTTTAACATACACAAAAGGTGGATTAATATAAATGTCATTTGCATCATATGTGTTCCAATTCAAGCCTAGATTCGTATCCACTTGTTTCACAATATTTTCTTTCAGATAATATTTAAAACGTTTTGACCATCTATATTAGTATTTAACTTAAGAAAGGCACAAAAAAATGATGGTATATACGAGAAAGTAAAAGAAAGAATATAACAATCTGAAAAAATTAATTTGGTATAATTTAGTATGGCGTAGTACTGATAAAAATTAAAAGTGTCGGCCAATACCGATATCAACGGTGTAGAAGTATCAGATTCATCTCTGTTTCTTAATTATTATTTTTCGCAAAAATGGATTGTTTTATTTGCGGTAATTCGCGAATGTCGATATCATAATTCGCTTCTCGGAAATGGCATGTTTAAAACCGATATTCAGACAAAAGGCGATTCTACCCACTTTTTTTTTACTATAGTATGGATGGTCCATATCTATTAACTTCAAAAATTTAATAAGATTTAATTGTTACAAAATTAAAGATTTTAAAGCTTATAAAAAAAATAGACCCTAACCACCAAGGAAAATGAGTAGATGACTAAAATTATGCATTAGTCGGCATTAAAAAATAAAATTCGCAAATGAAAAAAAATAGGAAATTAATTCTATAAATCCATTAAAACACATAATGGAATGTAGTTCGAAATTATACGACAAATCAATAAGAGTTTCGAACCCGACCCCTTCGGATTTTTTAAATTTTGCATAGTGATATTAACATTTTTAGGCCTTAATTTAACCCAATGGCTAGCTAAGTGAAAATATATATAAGTTAGTATAAACATATTAAAGTTAAAATAATAATATAATTTAAATATATCAAAAAAAAGGTTTCTCTATTATTTTTTAAGTAAATCTTAGATCAAAGTATATTTAAAAAAATAGTTTGGGCACGGATGGCATTATTTATTACTATCAAGATAAAAATAAAATAGTGGTCTAAATGATGTTTCCGAATTTATAAAAATTTACTATTTTCTTTTAAATAATAGAAATATATAAAATAAATTTAGCTTAAATAAACTTGTGAAATTCTTACGAAAAAAATTTAAGTAATTAAAATATTTTTCAAATTATAATAAGAAATGGGCAGTTATATTAATCATAATGGGAAGTATAAAAATAAATAGGTAGGTAAATTTTAGGCTTGTTAGCTGTCAATATGTAATAGCATGTAATACTAAGATAAAGATTCATATTTATTTTTTAATAAAGCCTCTGAATTATAATACAAATAAGTTGTTCCTGACTTTGATATCTTAAAACAACTTATAAATAACTGCCAATTTTTATAAATTTTTAAAAAAATATAGCCATTTATATTATAATATTTGTTTTAGTGTCAGAATATTCATTTATGGAGAATGTAATAGTGCATAAAAACGCTTAGAGCAAGATGATTTAAAATTTAGAGAACGACAGCAAGTTAAATAATATGGGAGGAAATTAGAAAGGTATAACCTAAATTATGATCAAGTGAAGAAGAAATATGCAGCTGTAAAAGCCAAATTCATCAAATTATATGTTCTCACTCCACAAAAACCTGGTATAAATTATAAAAATATATAAAACATTTTAATAAAAAGTACTGGTGCTCTTAATATAAAAAGCATATATTTGGCCAAAAGAAAATGTAGAAGATATTACCAAACATTCTGGGGCAAGTTTTCAATTCTCGCAAACAAAATATCATGACAATAAAAGACAAAAATCTATAATTTAGGAATCTGAAAATATCATCTAGCAGTATTATTTCATATTTGTATATAAAATTTATATGCTTTAATAGGCTGCATTATCTTAATTCTATTGTTTACCATAATATATATGATTTAAATACTGATCAAATATAGATATTGATTCCTGTGATGATACTAATTGTATTTCTATTATTTGATATTTATTAGTGAATAATAGGTAGATCATGACAATAAAGGAAATTATAACAGTATTAATATGATTAAAAAATGAATATTCATACTCCTAAGAGAAAAAAAACTAAAAATTATTGAATCTAAGAACATAAATTTTAATGAGTACTTGTATATTAAAATAAATAATATTTTTTTAATAAAAATGGATTTACTAAATTCAAACAAAATGAATAAACATAATGATAGACAATTTATGATAGGGTATCATATCAAATAAAGTCTAATGAACAGAATGACTTAAAAATTAAAATTTGGCTCTCCCCCCCCCATCATAATATTTCAATTTAAAAAATTTAGCTACAAAATTGATATATATCTTACTGCAAAGCTGATTCAAAAATAATCTAACTAGCTCAATTTTAAAACAATACAAGATATTTTAACCTATTCTTATCTAAAAGGTAATAGTTAAGATATTTTTCAGTTAGGCCATTAAAAATTATTATGTTAATAATGAGAATTAAAAGATTAATGTACTCTTTTGGACGGTTATCAGGTATACTTCTGTTGAAGGCAATTTTATTACTCAATAAAACATTAAACGAATCTTTTTTAATGATTTCTTTTGATTTTTCTATCTCATCAGGTTCCTTTAAATAAGCAGGTTTTCCATTTTCTCCTAAACCAGGGTATTTATCTATATATTTAATGTAAGAATAGTATGATTTTCTCTTTGGATCTTGGTTGTGAAATATAGGTTGATATATATTATAAATTGTTATAATTAAGAAGAAACAAGCGGCATATTTAATAAAAGTGCTGTAATTTCTAGGGTAATGATATTTTCGAGATATAATCATAGCGAGTCACGAATTGTAGACTTTTTTATTTACACATGTTTTGCCACATGTTGAGCAATTTAATTTCCTGAGGAATTAATGTAATAATTTAATAAATAAATTTATCATTTTCATATTCAGCAAATAAAGATGTTCATATCATAACTTATTGTTAAGAAGTCGTTTAAATTTTTTTTTATTATCCTTTAAACTATAAGTTTTTTTTGTTTTGATAATGATTTTCAAATTTTAAATTGTTTTCTTTTTTGTTAATGACATTGAACTATACAAATTCTAATTGTTAATGACATTATACAAGTTACAATTTATTTCGAAAGGTCATTTTGTTACCTTCGATAATTATTTTAATTATATAATTTATTATATAAACAGCGAATTTTATTTGTATTTTCAGTGAAAAATAAATTTGATTCTTTAATAAAATAAACTTGGTTCATAAATTTATCAAAATATATTATGGGATTCTTTGATAAATAAACCTGATTCTTATTATTCTCAGGAAACTTTATATGATTCCTAGAAAACATCACTTATATTTATTAAAAATTAATCTCTCTATCAATATTAAATCAAAAGGATTTACCGATTTTTCCTTATTGTAAGTTAAGAATTTCATAAATTATATTTTATAAAGTGGCAATCATTACGAAGTAATTTTCGAAGAGTAAATGACAATTAATTATTACTTTATTTGAATAATTATTTTTAATTTTGTGATTTACATTACTTATAATCAGAGTTGGGCAGTACCGCAAATACTTGTATCTAAGATACAAGATACAAGATCCTTTAGTATCTTGTACTCAGTAACTTTTTGATATTTTTAATAAGGTATAGTATCTGTATCTGTATCTAAGATCCTTTATTCTGAAAAGAATCTTGTATCTTTTTCATTTTCTTGATAAAAGATACAGATACAGTTTCTTTTTAATATTATGTTTAAAATTTCACATATCACAGTATACATCTTATTTTCTTCGAGAATCTTATATTAATTTCCTCATTTTTTTCCACCATATTTTAAATATAATGACAATAAAAATTAGCAGGAAAATTAACAACTCATATTAATGTAGATAGATTAAAAAAAATAACAATACAAAAACGAAATAAGCAAAGATTAATTTTACTAGGAGTGTACCGATATCACTTTTTGGAGGCCTCCGATCCGATATTTGCGATATTAAATTGATATCGGCCGATTACCGATCCGATATCATATTTAATTTTGTATTCTGTAAAGATACCAATGATTTTAATTTGTAATATACTTTTTATTAGTATAACATCTATAATTTAATTATACCATAACTTATGTCATTTAAATATATTATAATTATCAGTTTTAGTTTATATTCAATTCTATTGCAATTGTAATAGTATATAAAATATTTTTATTGTTAAATCACTTTTATATAATAAGTAACAACATTAATCTATATACATATAAGTAATAAACAAATATATTATAAAATTTGAATAAGTATTTAAAATAATATTTAACATTAATATATAGAAGATTTCTTTTTAGAAATACCAAAATTTCCAATTTATCAGAAATCAGACAGAGGCAATGGTAACTGTCAATAACACCGCTTTACTAAAAACAGATTCTGAAGAGGTTATCGCACAATTTTATAAACAGAATGCGCAAAAAAATAACAATATGGCAGAATGTTTATTTATTAATTATTATTATTAAAAAAATATGGATTTTGATTTTATTAATAAAAATAAATGATATTAGATATAAATTTTTTTAAAAAATTTAAAACATTTTATTTTTGTTAAAGACGCCATTTTATATTGGATAGGATCGGTTAATTATATGATATTGGCCGATAACCAATATTTTAAAATAGGTGAGATATCGGCCCGATCCGATAAAAATATCGGTATATCCCTATATTTTATATATAAATGTAACTAAATAGTATATTTTTTAATTTAACAGCTGATCGATTTTTAAAATCTGTTTATGGGAACAATTTTTATCTATTAATATTAATTTTATCTACAATTTAATTCATAATAATAATCTAAGAAATAATTATTTTAATAAAGAAAAATTGATCTCTTAATCAGATTTTAAAAACTATCAGCTATTAAATGAGCGCAATCCTGCCACTATGAATTCAAGGTAACACTCATGGTAGTGGAGAAGAAAGTAGTGAAATTTAAATTATGGAATGAAGTTCTAGTAAATCAAAAATTTTATATGGAAATCTTTTAAAAATAAAAGTTAAAAAAGACAATATAAGACTAGATGGAAAACCTGTATAAACAAAAAAATGATAAAGGGTTAAACACAGATTTTGTTAATTAAACAAATTATAGTATATTATTTATATATAGTTAAAAGGGGCATAGGTTACCTAAAAATTCAAGTTTACAAAATTGTCTCCCTTTATTGAAAGCTGCCCAAGATGGTATGGGCAAAAGATTTTAAGAAAATATTTTCCTATGATTTGAATATAATGAGGCTTTTTGACATCATCACATCCATATTTTAGGAATTTTTTTTATAAATATAATACTGCAATAACCTCATCGCTTAAATTGAAAAGTTGTTAAGCTTTGGGGCACAATGTTAAGTACGTCGAAACTGCAAATGTCTAATGAAAAATTGTTTGAAAAATTTGATTATCTTATAAAATAATTAATCTATTTTAAATACACTTTTGCAAATTAATATTTTAACTCCCATTAAAAATACTAGTCTCCTATCCCTTCCCTATCTTTGCTAAAAATGGGCTATTACTAATATTAAAATGCTTGATTATGATATTTAACTCATCATTAAATGTTTAATTAATTATTGTAAATATTCATTCTTATTATATGCGCTTGTTATGTTCTTCACAAATAAATAATAAAAACTGTATTTAATAAATATTCTAATTTAATTGGTAATTATATTTTAAAAGTATCTTGTATTTATAAGACACTCTAATTTGGCAAAATATACAAGTATCTTTATTTTGTATCTTTTTGATATTTTGAAAAAGATACTAGTATCTGTATCTAAGATTCATTTTTTTACAAAGAATCTGTATCTATATCTAGATTCTTTTTCCGTAGGACCTGCCCAACTCTGTTATACAAATGAAATTTGAAAATTATGATAAACAAAACAACTTTCAAGATTATATTGAATATATAGATGATGTGTTGTAGGTAAGAGGTATATTAATAAATAATGAAACCAATAAAAAAATATTATTTGCTTATATGGGGATTAGAAATTTGGCAGAGATGAGGTTTTTGTATATCCAAAAATTTTGAAAGAACTTAATTATGAGGAGACAATTGAATTGTGTAAAAAAGTATTTAAGCCTATTTCAACGTTATTCAGCTCGAGAATTAAGTTTATTCGTATAGAAAGAGGGGATGGTGAAGCTAATGACATTAATACTATAGACTGCCGATTAATATATTTGAAGTGGCAAAAATTGAAGTGACTGGTGGCCATTTTGTGTTTGTATCTTTTACGAAAGAACCATATGATAATTTCATAAATTTCAGGTATATTTTTATTATGTTTATATTTATAATATATATATATATTATAATTAAACACCAATTTATTATTTACCTTATATATTATAGTATATATGAATCAAATAAAGGTCACTACTGAATATGAAGAAAAGAAAGTTAGATGTGATATCTGTTTACATTCCCTAATTGATAATTCCGCAAACGACAATAATTATACATTAATAAAAATTAAGAATTATGGTGGATTGATAATACCATCCCAAAGCGTGTCCAAAATAACAGAGAGCTCATTCAGGGCTTTTGAAAAAGTAGATGAAATAACTAAAAGACATGCTGTTAAAAAAATAGAATGTCTAATATTGTCAAAAATATTAGGCACAAATATCCTTAGTTACCTGCAAGATCATATATTTGATCAAGAGGCAGGGTTAAGTCATTATCAAATTATAATAAGACTTATAATAAAAAGGTATATATAATATTTACTTGATTTTAATAAAAATTTATTTTCAGATACCTGCACATAAGAATGCATCATTTTGGTAATAAAGTAAATCAAAAATTACAATTAAATATCAGGCAAAAACTAAACAAGGCTGTACTTTTTCAAGGGCAATAAACCAAGTAATATAAAAATATGTTATTTAACTTAAATATTTATAGGTGAAGAACAAATTATCTGAAAATTTCTGACTTTATTGGTTATAATAAATTAATTTTACTAGACATAAATATAACATATATATTATTTGTATTTATTATTGATTTATAAGATTAATATTTTCTTTTCGCGATACATATTAATTATAATAATACAATTATTTTATTTGATGTAAATATAACATAATATATATTATTTGTATTTTTCATGATATATATTTACATTATTGATTTTTAAACTTTGGTGAATTAAATTTAAATAAAGAAATATATTTAGAAATGGATAGTTTATATTTATTAAGGAATAACATAATTATAAGCAAAAATAAAATATAAAAGACATAAGACATAAATTATAAAAATACAAAAGAAATCTAGAATTGATTTCTATAAAAAAAATATTCATGTATTTTTGAATTAATCTGGCTTCTAGGAAACCTGCATGTTATAATTTATTATTCATTATTTTGTTACTTTTAGAAGATGCTTTGGAAAATTAAAAATTGATGGTATTGCTCCCTCTCTTAATTGAACATGATTTGTAACAGATGGAATAAATGAATCTGGTGTAAAATGCTTTGAACATAATTTACTATATTTTGTTACATTGAAGTTCTCTCTCTTCACAGCATGGGCCCATTTTTGTAATAATATTTTATCTTTCATGGGAAATCTGCCATAAATAATTTTTACAATAGAATAATTAATTTGAGATATCATACTTATGAAAGGAAATTTTGCTTCCACAGCAATATACTACCATTTTAAATCTTTTAGTAATTAAAAAATATTAAATTGAATTCTTATAAAAGATATTCATTATTAAATAATAAATTGCA